AAGAGCTTCAACCACGTTTGTGTGGGAATGCAGACTTCTGATCAAGAATGTTGCATTTTTATCACTGAACCAGAAACGCCCCAGATTTTTAAATTGCGGTTTAACAGTGGAAAAGTGCTTAAAAATTGTGAACAGAGGTAACTTGATGAATACAAGGTTTACTGCAGTTCCCTGTGAGTTTAAATTGTGTCACAGGACAAGAGCAATTGCTTTTTAATGACTGGCTAACTGCTATTTAACGAATTTTTTAATATTATACTGTTTTGTGCTACCTTTGTTTCACTTTCTGTTTTGTGCTGTTACTCACTGGGTAGCACCTCCCCCTGAGTCAAAAGGTTCTGGTTCAAGTCATTCTCCAGATTTCTGCGCAAAAATCAAGGCTGACACTTCAGCACAGTAAGGGAGTGCTGTTCTAGTGGAAGTGTCATCTTTCATAGAAGATGTTAAAACCAACACTGTCTACCTTCTCAGGTAAATGCAAGAGCTCACAGGAAACAGTCTGGAAAAGCAAAGGCAAGTTATGTCTGATGCCCAAACAGTGATTATCCTTTGACCATTCTCTCAAAGCCAGATTTGATATTTTATTATCAACCTGTTCCAAGATGTTATTAGACAGTTCTGGAGCAGGCGGGACTTGAACCCAGGCCTCCTGGCTCTGAGGTGGGGGCAACACAAGACCCTTCACAATCTGGCAGCATCTGTGTAGGAAAAAACAGAGTTAACGTTTTGGGTCCGGTGACTCTTCCTTAGAACTGATGGTGGCTGGGAAAATGTTAGTTTATATGCAGAAAAAGGGATGGGGATGGGGTAGGGAGTAAACGACAGGATAGAGCCTAAAGAGAGATAAGAGCAGTTGGGTAGACAAAGGGTTGATAATGATCAGGCTGGGAGGGTGAATAGCTGTTAATGGGGACTGTTAGTGACTAACAACAGGAGGTGTGTAATGCCAGGCTATGTGGTAACAAGGCCTGGTGTGTGGGGTAGGGGGCTGGGACATGGGAGAATTTAGGCCCTAAAATTATTGAACTCGATATTGAGTCCGAAGGGCTGCAGGGTCCCCACGCGGAAAATGAGGTGTTGTTCTTTGAGCTTGTGTTCCCACCCAGAATCATCCCCCTATAACCCATCCCTGAACACTACGGGCAATTTAGCATGGTCAATCCACCTAGCCTGCACATCTTTGGACTGTGGGAGGAAACCGGAGCATCCGGAGGAAACCCTTGCACCAACTGAAAAGTTGGTGGAAGCAGAGTCCTTGAATATTTTTAAGGCAGTGATAGATAGGTTCTTGTTGAAAAGTTATCAGGGGTTCGTTGGAAGAGATAGTAGGAACTGCAGATGCTGGAGAATCTGAGATAACAAGGTGTGGAGCTGGATGAACACAGCAGGCCAAGCAGCATCAGAGGAGCAGGAAGGCTGACGTTTTGTGCCTAGACCCT